ATTTAATGACGCAGTTACAAATAAAATCGAAAACGTTTAAATTTTTTTTCTTTAACGTTGAACGAAAGCACTGATTTGTCAGATACTGCACAATTATTAATATTTTTTTAAGGAATAGATACAGAATATAATATAACAGAAGAACTTGCTTCATTAGAAAGTAATTCTGGAACTACAAAAGGAGCTGATATTGTTAAAAAAGTGAATATAGTCCCTATAGTAGGTATATCTGTAACGGAATAATCAGCTAGAACCAATAGCAATTTTATTGCAATGAGATTTTACTGTAATAATATTAAATGTTAAAAAAAAAGTAACTTAATTTTTAACTTAAGTTAGTTTATTACAGGGACTGGAACCGAACCGAAACGAACCAGTTCTGGAACCAAAAAACCCTTAAAATTTTGAGAACCAACCTAAACGGAACTGAATTTAAATATTTTCAAATAACCAGAGCCCACATTTTAAAATAAAAAAACGGGTTTTCGATGTTAAAATATTTTATTTTTTTCCAACGTAACTTCTGCTCAATTTATTGGCATAATGCTTTTACCACAGATTTACCACGTTTGTTTTTATAAACTATTTTTATTTTTGTTTAGAGCTGATTATTTCTTCTGAAATAATGGTAAGTAATGTTAAGACTTATGAACTCTATTTTTGTATATTAAGATTAAAATTAAAATAATCTGTAGGTATTAATATGTTACAACAGTAGGTATATTATTATTTTATCGACTGTTGTCAATAAATAACAAACTCACACAAAGACACATATGCAAAACGTATTGATGACTGATGACCAGAATTACGGCATTTTTGCCAAGTAAACTATTCTAAATAATTAAGTACGTACTTAGTATGAATATCAAAACAAGCATATCTTGGTGAATAAAAAATTTTAAATATAATTGAATAGTTCCATTGCATTCATTGAGTATATTTCCGTAAGCAAATATGTATTTTACTTTGAAAAATGTTATATTTATGAAAATAGAACTACCAAAAACCACTAAACATAAAAACTCATTTTTCTCGAAATGTTATGAAGGAAACTTACGGCATTCTTCCTTAGGACGGTAGTATAGGTATTTGATATTTCTCTTAATAATAAGAGCAACCAATGTTAATTATATTTCCAAGAAATAGAAATAATAGATCTTTTAATTCCAATTATTATAAATTATATAACTGAATTGAATACTATTGGTTAAATTATGTAGTGTATGGTTTTGCATATAGACATTTTTCAATAAATAAATGTATTTGTGGCTAATATAGTGGTACCTACGTATCCATCGATCGAGGATTTAGAGGTTGGAAATAGAAATCTGTGCGTTTGAAGATTCATAACAAAAGTGATAGAAAAAGTCCAGCATTGAAATATGGACCCTATATTTAAGTAAAAAACAAAATGATAACTGTATTGCAAATTTACTAACTCACTCAAGACACTAGAACAGTGGTTCTTAACCTTTTTTAGTTCAGCGCCCCCTTTATCGTAATAACTTACTGCTAACGCCCCCCCTCAAAATCAAAATTTCTTCTAATAAAGATATATATATATATATATATATATTTATTCATCAGTATATTACAGTATAACATTATTAATTAAAGTAAAAACTCTTATTTTTAGATAATAAAAGTTATATTTTTTACCACTTAACAAAAAGAATTACTTAACTATGAAAAAAAAAATTATAAAATATAAAAATTATACCTATCAATGACTGCCCTGAGCCTGATGAGTAGCTGCTAACGTGGCGAAGTCTGGTTCGATATTGGTCAAAGCTAAACGTAGATCACCTTTGTTACAAATGTACAACCGATTTCTTTGTTTCGTCAAAAGCTGAATCTTTTTTAAACTTGCAAGGTACAGTATACAATAGTCCAGTTATGGTTGAAAATTTAAAAATACATTTTTTATAAACAAGACGTTTCCGATACGTAAAATGCGATTAGATAACATTCCGTATGTCGTTGTATCCTACGCAATTACAACTATTCTGATTTCAGGTTCAATTATTTGTAGTGTTGTTATATAATATTAATAAATTGTATTATTTTTAATCTCTTAGTTTGAAAAAGCTCACCGCCCCCTCAACGCCCCCTTCAAAACTATCGCCCCCCATAGAGACCGAAATGCCCCCAAGGGGGCGGTAGCGCCCCCGTTAAGAACCACTGCACTAGAAGATATTAAAGAAAATCATAAACATGTTTTTTTTTTTATTAAAAGCTACTCTGTATCTTGCAAAGCAAGGACTTTCATTTTGTGGCCATAATGAAAAAAGGGAGTCTTTAAATAGAGGTAATTTTGTTGAACTATTAGAGACATTTGGAGACAAGAACACAAAATTAAAAATGCAATGAAGGCACGGTCATTATGCATCCCACGAGTACCAAAATCATTTGATAGGTGTTATTGCTTCATCTACAAAAAATATAATTTTAAATAACTTGTCTGAGTTTGCTGCATATAGTATCTTAGTTGATGAAACAAAAGAAGCGAGTAAAAAAGATCAACTTTGTTTTTTAATCAGATTTATTGATAAAAACTATAATATTCAAGAAACAGCTCATGGCTGTTATCATATGAAAAAGTGTGATGCAGACTCTCTGAGTAAAGCTATTTTAACTATTGTTGGGGAAAATAAGTTGGACATCGGTCGATGTGTAGCCCAGTGCAACGACGGTACATAAGTGATGAGTGGATCTTTTACGGGCGAGCAAAAGAGAATAGCAGATATTGTTCCACACGCTACATATATACATTGTTATGCACCTCGTCTTAATTTATGTTTGTTAAATTCAATTCAAGACATAAGGTCTGTGGTAAACTTTTTTGATACTGTTCAAAGTATGTATACATATTTAATGAATAGCAGTGTTGGGTAGTAACGTAACGAAAGTAAAGCATTACTGTAAGCGTTACTTTGCTTGTAACACGTTATGTAATTTCATTAGAATTATTTCCAAGTAACTAAAATGTAATGTAAATTACTTTTTAAAAGTAATTTCTATAGAATAACGTGTTACAGTTTCGAATTATTAAGTACCTACTTACCTATTGCGAATTGGAGAAAAATATATGTATAATGCGAGTTTTATTATGTTTACCAATCTAATATGTATATATATTTAATTTTAACTAGCCACAATTCAGTTTTCAATGGTTTTGACATTTTAAATGTCTAATTGCACCATACAAATCACGAAAACAGTTAATTCAATTTATTATTTAATATTAACTTGTGTGGAAGACTAAGTTTTATATGATCCTATTAACTATACAGGTTAGTCCGTGGTATACTATGGAACACGGTTGAGAAGATAAGGTCTTACAACAACCCATCCTCCTACCTATTACAATATTTCCCAAATTACCGCAAAAGGCGCAAAAACGTATTTTGAGGTTAAAAACATTGTTTATATGGCATTTATACATTTATATGGGGTTTTTTATGGACCATAATATAATATTATTTTATTCGACCATCTGATATTGTTATTACAATATTTTTTTTCATTTTTATTTCATATTATTACCTACCTACTTTGATGGGAACAGGGAAAGTGAATATTGTTGGTGCATTGGCGAAGTTAAAATTCCCAGTAACGTTCAAAAGTGCCCAGAAAAACTAAAAAAAATTAAGGAAATCCGGGAATTTATACGCAATCGGTTTTTGACAAAATCAATTTTGGTTTTTGGTGTAACCGTAAAACAAATGATAGATATATGAAATTTTCTTTGGTTGTTTGTACTACCATTTTTTATATACTATTGGGAAAACAAATTAACACTGGGAGCGCTGTCGACGCCTATCGTACTGATGGTTGGGCGGGGTTCCCCCCTACATGCAGTCGGGACTCGAGTCGGGTTTTCGCGGCATTTCGAATACATTTTGCTTTAAGTGAAGTGAATTTGAACGTATTTGATAATATTAGTTGAAATTATATTTACCAACATATACAGTTAGCTATAAAAGCGTATAAAGTTTCCATAGCAAAATTAATTTATTATAAAAAGTAAAATAACCAACATAAAACTATATCTATACATCCCGAATTGGAAGGTACAAATTGTTTCCACCAGAGCGCGTTTTGTTAATTTGTTTCCCCAATACAATTTTTGAGCTGTTTACGGACATTGTCAGTACCAAAACATATATATTGAAATTTTACTGAATTTAGGTTTTATATTTAATTAAACATAAGACACATTGAAGAAATTTCGGGGGGGGGGAGATTCCCTGGCAGGCAACCAATGTTTACCAAATAATATTATCATAGTGTAGATAATTATATATTTATATAAATAAATGTAAACATTGCCGCTATTATAAATGGCAGCCGATTTAAATATTGGTCCCAACTGTAGTATAAAGACGGCTATCTAGTTGTTGCAAAATATATTATAATACATCACAAGCATGGTTATTATCAAGGGATTTTTGATTGGGCCGATCGGGGTACATTTCCCAGAAATTCTTAACAAAAAAAAGATAAGCCAACCGTTGAGAAGAATGTCGTAATTATCATGTCTACCACGGCACTGACCTAACCTCACCTTATTCTGCATAAATACGAGTATACGATCACCATCGTCATATTATTATCTACATTCGCGTTTCGTGTAGTTCTATGTGCACAACTGTGTCTGGTGGGTCCATAGTCCATAGATTATTACTCTCATCCAGTCTCTTGTGTGCATCCGCGTGAGCGACGTCCTCACAGACAATAGATAAGTAGATAACACGTCCGAGTTTCCTAACCACATTATGTCATTATTAGTCATTACTGGTATTTCCAATATTCCGTCGTTTTACCAGTGCGTTAATTCTTAGGTACTTAAAACATTCAAGTGTTTCACGATTAACATTAATTCATTATTAACCGTTATTTTGAATTTTGTCAGTGCGGGAAATGTCGCAAGCCGTTGGCCAGTTTGAATGTTTCTATGCTTAGTATTTATAAGGAAAATAACTCGATCAAGGACAATGATGAATAATAAAAACACTTGGTGTATGGACAAGTCAGGTACTATTACGTTTATAATTTATAATTTTAATAATAGCTACGTTGTATGTGCCATTGCGTACTTATTGTCTACATTTAAATGTTAAAGGTCAAGATAAAGAAGTCGGTAAAAATGGCATGCCAACAAAAGATAAGAAAAATTATCCTGAAAAGAAAACACGTAAAACTTATTTACGTGACAAAAGAGCTCCAAAACCTCCACATAATGGTAATTAATTAATACAATTTGATGTGGTTAAAAAAGAATAAATTATTCAAGAGTATTAAAAATAGATTCATTGTTTGTCTATAATTACAGGATACATACGGTTTTTGAATGATAGACGTCAACAATTTTCATCTCAAAATCCCAATTTACTATTTTCTGAAATAACTAAAATATTAGCTACTGAATGGAACCAAATGTCAGCAGAAAAAAAACAAGTAATCATTTAATTATATATTATAAACTATAATCAATAAATACAGATATTAAGATTTAGAAAACAATCTAACAATTATTAATTATTAAGGATTTTAATTATTCTTCTATAGAAATATTTTATTGTTTTAGACATACCTTTCAGCCGCTCAACAAGAACGAGTAAAATATGTTGAAGAATTAGAGGCTTATAAAAAGACTGATGCATATAGAAATTTTCAGGAGTTCAAATCGAACAGAAAGAAATTTGATATCACTATCAAAAAAGTTAGTTTAAAAATTCAATTACATATATTATTTTTACAAAAAGTTTAAATTTTAAAAATAATAATAGATAAAGTAAAAACCTATAATTAACAGTAAACAAAATATTAACTTTATTAAGTTTTAAAATAGTTTTTTTTTAAATGTTCTATAACATTAATCAAGAAAGTCTTTATTCATTAATCTGTTGCAACAATTCTTTATTTTAAATAATAAATAGTGATTTAACTATACACCAATAATATTTCATTATATAAAATTTAAAAAAAAGTTATATTATATTTATATTATAGGTTTATATAAAAATTGTTGTATGAAAAATATATATTTCAGATTAAGATTTTTATAAAATTACAAACTCGATATGAATTATATGTGTATTTATTTTATTTAGGAACAAAAATTGAATAAAGAAAAACCATCTAATACTGACAAATCTAAAAAGATTATATTTTATTTATATTGGAGCTTTTAATAAATATAGTTGCATGAAAAATATATATTACTAATGAACATTTTCATATAATTACAAATTCATTGTTATTAATTATCTATGTATTTATTGTATTTAGGATCAAGGAATAAAAAAAGAAAACCCATCTAATGATAACAAATTTAAAAAGGTTAGATTTTATTTATATTGGAGCTTTTAATAAATATAGTTGCATGAAAAATGTATATTACTAATGAACATTTTCATATAATTACAAATTCATTGTTATTAATTATCTATGTATTTATTGTATTTAGGATCAAGGAATAAAAAAAGAAAACCCATCTAATGATAACAAATTTAAAAAGGTTAGATTTTATTTATATTGGAGCTTTTAATAAATATAGTTGCATGAAAAATGTATATTACTAATGAACATTTTCATATAATTACAAATTCATTGTTATTAATTATCTATGTATTTATTGTATTTAGGATCAAGGAATAAAAAAAGAAAACCCATCTAATGATAACAAATTTAAAAAGGTTAGATTTTATTTATATTGGAGCTTTTAATAAATATAGTTGCATGAAAAATGTATATTACTAATGAACATTTTCATATAATTACAAATTCATTGTTATTAATTATCTATGTATTTATTGTATTTAGGATCAAGGAATAAAAAAAGAAAACCCATCCAATGATAACAAAATTAAAAAGGTTAGATTTTATTTATATTGGAGCTTTTAATAAATATAGTTGCATGAAAAATATTATATACAGTAGAAATCCTTATTATGAGCATCGCTTCAAACAACAATCTCAGGTGAGCTATCAGCAGTTAATACAGAATTGTGTTCTGATTGGCTCACTAACGTTTGGCCATCCATCTGATCCATTTACTATGATGATTGAAAGGTTACATTGAACGCTCGTTATAACGTATATAACAAGTTACCAGTTACATCGATAAAAACAAGTTGCCCATAAAACTTGTTGTAACCAATTTCTACTGTATTACTTATTAACATGTTCATAAAATTACAAATTCATTGTTATTAATTATCTATGTATTTATTCTATTTAGGGTCAAGAAATAAAAAAAGAATACTTACCTAATGATAACAAATTTAGAAAGGTTATATTTTATTCATACTGTAGATTTTAATAAATATAGTCGCATATAAAATATATATTACAAATTAACGTTTTCATAAAATTACAAATTCGTTGTTAATAATTATTAATTATCTATATATATTTATTCCATTTAGGACCAAGAATTGAAAAAAATAAAACCATCTACAACAAACATTGGCGTAAGTATGAGAATTCAACCCCAATTCAAAAACCTTAAAGAGCCCTTTTTTAATGTAAAAATAAAACTAAATGTATGTTCTTAATAATTTTCATTAAATAACTTAATATACCATGTGTCCTCGAAAACTGGGTACACTTTATGAGTTATACCACAGTTACCTACAGTACTCAGTATCTATACACATTATTTTAGAATTCTGTCTGTGGGAGGTGATGATCCAATAGTCTAGTTGTAAGTGCCCGCAAATTGAATTCAAAAATATGTATTTGCTACTGAATAATATGGGTAATTTAATTATACAGTTAATCCCGTTTTTACGAAGACACGGTATAGAGCTTTAAATAAAGATAGTTGCATGAAAAATATATATTATAGAACAGATTAAGATTTTTTTAAGACTACAAATTTATTATTAATAATTATTAATTATATTATGTATATTCAATTTAGGATCAAGAATTTATGAAAGGAATACCATCTACATCTAGTGACAACAGTAATACAGTTAATGACTTACCTATATTTACTGAAGAATTCCTAAACTTTAATAAAGGTTGGATTTTGTTTGATTTTATTTATTTATATGTTATTATTATTATTATTATTATTTATAGCTAGAGATAGTGAACTAAGGAATCTTCGTAAAAAGGTAACAGATCAAGAACAAGAAGTATGTGTCTTAGATAAACATATTGAAAACATGCAAAATGCTAGTATCAAACTAGTGGCTATTAATGAACAACTCAATGCTGGATGTTCAAAGTATGAACAGTATTTAGTTAAACTACGATCTCGACTTTTGGATGTTTTTGCTAATACTGCATTCCCGGGTAAATATTTTATATTATTATCTTTTTCTGTAAACATTTTTGGGTAACAGTAGTACTCAGTGGCAAAGCGTCATAGGACACAAAGAGACAACGGCTCCCCACTTAGAAATTAGAACACGGGACAAATTAATAATTAATATTTTGTTTTATAAAATATTTAAAAATGTGAATTTTATTTTATATTAAATAAATATATATGATGTATGTTTCAGTATTTGTTAAAATTGGTTTTTGTTGTACCTGATGTTGTACAGTTAAAGAATTCTTAAAATAAATTAGAAGCGAGCTAGCGATACGGGTCATTCCAAATATGAAATTATATATAAATCTAATATGGGCACGCGGGTACAGGGGGAATGCTTATGTTCTTGGTATTTACTATGTACGCTATGAGACACGTAATTACCTCAGTCCTCAATATTTATTATCTATGTTGCCACTCTATCGTGATAGGTACGTCGTACTTGTTTCTTAATATTTATTGTTTTATATTGTAATTTGTCCTCATGGGCCATAGGCAGGGGTGCACTGGCCAGGTGTGCTAGTGTGCCGCAGCACACCGGGCCGGCCATTATGTGTGGGTTGGGCCGCCGGGGCATTTGAACATTTGACAATATTACTAATAAATATATTTAAATTCAAAACAGTTAAAAAACCACAGATATTGGTTAGTACAATTCTACAATAAGTTCATAGTTGAACCATAAGTTTATAATAATAATAATATTATGAGCATATTAGGTATGTTGTGTATTGTATTATAATTCCTTAACCAACAATTTTAAAATTCAGTTTCATCAGTTATAGTCTAGACTTTCCCAAATTTTGTCATATTTTTGCATCATATATTTTTTTTTTTTATCAGGTCTTTCTGTCACAGCCTGTATATAAATTATAAATAGACAATAGCCAATAAGTTATATTATATATTTTATAAGAATGATAAATGTATAATCCTTTTGATATTTTTGATGTTTGTTTACTATTGTTTTTATCATTTATTTCATAGTAACAATTCATACTCTTATTAAACAAAAATCATCTTAATCAGATTCAGAATCATCGCATTATTATAGTCATTACTTCTAATATAAACTTCAAGTTTTAAATGTTTTCTGTTCTCTTTTTCAGCAAACCTACAAAATTTTCATAAATATTTGCAAATGGTTCAATGATTGTAGTTTAGCAATAACTTTCTGGCAGTCGATGTACTGACCAAATCGTATAAAGTGTTTAAACATTTTTCTAGATAAAACTGGTTTTTAAAATTATTGGTTATAATACAATATACAACATACCTAATATGCTCATAGTTAATAAATAATTTAAAATTAAGAAATTTCAAGAAATTCCCCCAAAAAAAATTTATTCCATTTAAATTCTAAAAAATAAATTACTTGACTGAGATAAATGTTGGTACCTACAAAATTGTTCTTATAATTAGATTTACAAATTGGCTATTTTGAATTTTTCCAATTTTCATTAGAAAAAATATATTTTTTTATATTATACATTTATATATTATACATAATAATTCAAGTGACTACAAATTATTTATAAAAAAAAATTTTATATATTGATTAGAACAAAAGTCCTTTCATCCGTCAGGTCTTCATGTTACACTCTGTATTTTAAAACATTTGATGCATTATGAAATAAATCATATTTATTTTAGGATATATTATGTAATAAAATTTAAAAATATAATATCCATCACAATTAAGATTGTTTTTTAATATATTAATATGTCAATAAATTGCTCATTTCTTTGAAATATTAAAATATTGATATTTTTTTTTCTTTTAATATGCACTCTGTGTATGAATACATTTTAACTCTGTCATGCATTCAAATAAAATGTGAGAGGTTATTTATTAAATTAAAAATAATTAAAAACAGGCGGACTAACCTAACCTAACACTGAGAAATTGCTTAGAATCGTTTCATTGAAGATATGATTTATTGTTTTGTTTCTTTACCTTTACACTACAAAGACGATGTATCCTCGTCTTCTACCTCGTAGCAGAAGCGACGTAACAGCATTTTTATTTTGCTCTAATTGAAATCAATAACTAATATTTAGTGTATATGGTGTAATCACTGTTATAAATTATAATCAGAAATATTTGCAATAAGGTATTTAATAGGTATATTTTCAGAGATTCTCTGGACTACAAGATGAATAAATAGGTGTATTATATATTATTTGATCCACTACCCGAAAAAGTAGGTATTCATAAAGAAGCTGTTATAAAGGGTTTTGAGTTTTATAGAATATTGGGCCGTTTACCTCCCAGTCCGCCCCTGGCTATAGGCTGATGATTAAATTAATACCATTTTTAACGATGGAATTATTAACTACTCATATAAAAAAAAAATGTGTACATTTGGATTTATTATTATATTAAATTATCATTTTAAGGAACTTGTAACGTTTTAAATTTTTTTAATGTAATATAATATTTCAATTGGTTTTTAGTTTTTGAGCATTTATTTCTTACCAAATAGATAAAATAAAAATGGGGGGGGGTCTAGGCATATTAGTGCCATTTTCCTTTCAGTATCTCCCCAACCAAACACCTCACGCCTCGCTACTGGTAGTACTACAAAAAAATATCATGTAGCTCTTTTAAATATTAGATAATTATAGGTACCGTCAAACAGCCGAACTTAAGACAGTTTTGTAAATAATTTAACATTACCTAACTAATCTAGACGTATTTTCAATGTAACTTTTTTTTTATTTAAGGTTTGATTTATTGATTTCTGTTGCATTTGAACCATGCAAATTATTCCTTCTAAGGGTTTTTTTTTCTTTTACTGCTTGCCCCATGTTGTACTGAATTTTTTCATTCATTTTTTTCTTATGAAAAACATATTATTTGACCTATTACTTAAACTAACTTAGGACACTATGTTAATTTTTTTTAAAAATACCAGATAATTTTATGAATTTAACAAATATATTTTGTACCTGGTGAGTATATTATATTAACATAATATTAAAAAAATAAAAATATTCTTGTTGACCAATTAAATAAGTATTATAATAAAAAAAAAAAGATAATAATAATAATAATAATAATAACATTCTTGTCAGGTATTAAATAATAGGTAGGTAACTTTCTTGTTTACCAATTAAATAGGTAGGTATTATAATATTCAAATTAAATTAAAAAACCAGGGTTGAATTACAGTGGCCCAAGTTAGATTAAATAAGTGAAACGTAATTTACAGAAATGAATGCAGGATTATAATAATTTATAATAAAGAGTATAAATATTAACACACATTCGAACATATTTTTTATAATCAATTTTTATATAAAACGTCTAATTCAATGAGTATTAGTGTAAGTTTTCGGACCTTTTCAAAACAATAGATATTAAACATAAAATTAATTAATATAAATTAATACTTACGTTTAAAATGTGATGCTGCAACACTACCAGAGTGATGTTAAATATTGTTAAGATAACAACAGAATATGACGGTACCATTTATTTCTCCATATAAAAGAGGCAAGTTCCTATTACCTACTTAATTCTGTCTCTGGTTTTTTTAAAAATATTTATTATTAATATTCTTTATTACTATTAAAGTTAATTATTATTAACAGTCTATAAAAATGAGTATGCACTTTATTTAGATCATCAAAGTATAACAAATTGCATCTACATTTTTAATAGCCTTGTTAATTGTGCAAAATTAATTCTTAGTAAATTGGTAGATGTCAAAGGATCGGCTGCTAAAGTTTATAACTGTTCATAGTACAGTACTTCCATTGAGACAAAATATAATAATACTATGTATATTCATAAACAAACATAAGTCATACGATCTTAGTGTTGGTACTTTTGAACATATTATAATATTGAGGTTTTAATAGATTTAAAAATTATTGAAAAGAGCCATGTAATATACTTAGAGATGGAGAATTTAAGTAAAGAAAATATCGGTATATTTACCAATAAAGTAGTAAAATGGTAAAATAGAATTTAAGGTTAATAATGGCATTTCTTAGAGCGATCTTATTTATTGGTAAATACAAATGTTATTTTTGTTATTGTATTCTTGAAAAATTAAGTTATTTCTAATAAAAACAATACAGAACTAAAAATGGATCTATTAATCATAATACAATTAATAAATAATTTAAATTAAAATATCAAAATTATCAGAGCATTTCCTTTAATTTTATGTTCAAAAGTCAAAACATTTATATTTATTTACTTTTAACTATTACTTATGTAGGTACAGTGTTGAGAAAATAGAACATATGATTAGTATAATAATTATTGTATTGGTATTTATTATCAGATGATAGAAAAGATTTCTCTTTGCAATTCGATATAAGTGTTTTTGATTGCATTTATTAGATGGGCCTCGCAAAATATTGTTAAGTAAAAAATAACTTACCGGTAAAAAAAAAATTGGTTAAATATACAGCACTCACATCTCTAAATATACTATTTTATCTATAATCTAAATAACCTTGTTTATTATTTCAATAATTAAAGCATAATTTTATTATTTAGATAACACTGCTCAACCTACTCACGAGAATATTGACACATACATGGTTAATTATATCAAATATCAAGCAACTGGTACTGATACTGATCCATCCTGGATTACATATTTCAAGAAAGGTTTATCTAATTTGGATAATTCACAATGTTAAAATAAAGTATATTTTAGTTTATTTAACTATAAGTCATAAATTATCCGAATTTGTATTTATATATACTATTTAATATAATATTCCTAAATTCTAGAACAAGGGTTGCAAACCTTTTGCAAAATGTATAATGAAAGTTTTAAAAAATAGCACGTACCTGTAATAATATTTTGATAGGTACAACACTTATACAAACATTATTAATCAAAGTGATTGTTTTTTAAAAAAAAAAAATTATTTTTTAAATCAGGTGTGTATTTTATTATTTTTAATGTAATACAAGCAGGGTTAACTTCATCCATAAATATATATTTACCTATAAAAATTTAAAATTGTATTCATTTTTAACTACGAAAATATAGTGTACTTTAAATTTAGTAAGAAAAATAATAAGTTATATCATGTTAAATTGGAATTCCTTAGATAGTAAAATATATATTTTATGAATTTTGAACTTCGGAATAATTTCAGTTTTTTTGATTTTGACAAATTTTGTTAACATTTGAACTTAAAACGCTTTCTAATAGCAGTAATAAGAATTAAAACTTTTGATATTTATTAAAGTTGTAAGATCAACCCATGAGGCGCCTAAATTCAATAAAACCTATACCCATAGACAATTCTATTACAATCAGTCAAGGTCGTATTAAGGGACAATGCTTATGGGGGAGCATTGGAGCAAACATAAATATGACGCCTTTAATTCAGTATACGTCTTTTTACAAGTAAATAACAAAAAAAAAATTGTCTGTCAACGCGCTACGGCTTATATAGCCATATAGGTAGTTAAATAAACATAAAATGCTCAACCACAGGAGCATGGCGCCTGCCAACCGAACTTGGCCAAAACATTGTGTAATAAAATTCTCTGTACGCCAAATGCCGATTTATATTCCTTGTTATGTTTTTCTTCGTTTACACAATAAATTATAGTACATAATACTGTTGATTATATTCATAATATTTATAATCAATGATAATACATTTAGCAATATTACGACAGTATGTTACTGTGTAAAAAATTATTAAAATAAACGTTTGTTATAAAATGAGAGTGTCTGTATCAGTTAATATCAGACTCTACTACTCTTGCAAAAAATAAATAAACGAAAAATGGCTGCGTATTCTTGATGGTAGACTGGATAGACCGCTGCACAGGCGCGTTTTAAACACTCTGAGTAGGCAACTCTAAGTGGCCTGTGGGCAACACCCGGAATACGCATGACGAACGAGGAGACGACGACGACGGTGACTTTAACCAGACCCGAAGGCCGGTGCCAAAGCGCGATACAGAGGCACATAATGAGAATTAGATCGAGAAAAGGATTGTTATAGCGGAAAGAGAGGAACGTAGGCACAACGTACAAGTTAGTTATGGGGTTTTTTTCAATTTTTATTATCCTATAATATAGCTTTATACAATTATTAAACTATATAATAGCTTATGACATATTTAACAGTCGAACGAAAATTACCTATAATTTTAACAAAAATATAGATTCAATTAATTATACTATCCGGTAAAAAAAACCTATTGTTGATCAAAATATTAGATATAGGTATATCTGATACCTACTAGAATAGATACTAGTATTGACAATTAATTATCATTGTTGATTTAATAATAATTGTATTAGTGTTTTTATTTTAAGACAGGTACCTATATTGTGTTTAAAGTAATTATATCATTGATTAGGCAATGATTATAAATACAAAATACTAGTAGGTACCAACTACCCAGTGACGTATTTATAAATTTTGCTAGGGGGGGATGAAATATACAATAATAGGTACACCTATAGATACGTACCTACATAATATACATTTTTAAAATCCTCTAACTTGTTGAGGTTAGTGTGGATCAAGGCTAAATGAGAATTAACACAAATTGTATAGTAGGTAGGTACCTAATAGCATTTATTATAAATTCATACTAAGGCCAATCCCGTGTTTAATACGATGTACAAAAAAAATAGTTATAAAACAAAATCCCGTTTTCTATTTTGGATGCTATAAGTTCATCGATAACCTCATCTGGCAGGATTATTGTATTGACCGGTGACATGACAACACATTAATGACAACACCCGTATTACAATAGTTAAACTAATGTTCAACCTTTGAATTCGACCTGTAAAATCAACCGAGATTTAAACCATGATTGAAAAACGGGCACTAAGTCGGCCCCTTAGTCGGTTCTAATAAACAAAGTATATAATAATTACTACTTACTTAATTTATAGCTATTCATTTTGTCAATCAATAATAACTACTATTAATTTTGGTAATTTTTTTTATAGATTACAATATTGTATGTTGTTATACATTTTGATAATAATTAAAATAATGTATCATCGTGATCTGTGTTCTTAACAACATTTTCATAAATAAAGAATTACAACTAAACAATTAAAAACCAGATTAATTTTTTTTTTTTTGGTGGTGGGAGGGCGTACAAATATTGTTGACAATGGGCTCAAAAATTGTAAATACGGCCCTATAATACTTAATAAAAACTTGAAAAATATCGTTCATGTGTAGCAGTTGATACAGGCAAAGTACAAAATATTTTCAAGAGTTCATGAATATTGGGATATAACTCTTTATCACAAACATCTAAAGCATAGGTATAACCAAGAGGTGAATAAAATGTTTTCAGTGACTAAAAATAAACCCACAAGGTGGTAAATCTACAGTCTTCATGGTAATTTCGTTTTATTTACCCACTATTTATCGGGTTTATTAAAAACATTCATGCATGAAAAATATTTCACAGAAAATTAATAAATACAGTACACCATAGGTACTACCATAGAGGTATATATTTTTGTTGCCCAATAGTCACATATATGCCACAAACAACTAGTGGCGCATAATAATAATTTATATCAGAAAGGTAAAATTACCACGGATGAAACATTTAGAAATCAGACATACTTAAAAGTAATATCATATTGAGAAATACAGAAAATAAGAAAACTTAATTTTACAAAAAATAAAGGTCTATTGGGGATCTATTCTCCATACCCCCCAGTAAATACGCCACTGCTAGTACTTATTTATAATCAATTTAAAGTAGTTAAATGTTTAAACAATCACATATTGATATTTGATATAATATTCAAACTGAATTTTAATTATTTATTTATTTTAAAATTTAGTTAGTACACTTTTAAATTTCCATTTATGTTAGTGTCTATAAATTACAATAAAGTAGTATAATTCGTTTAGATTCACAGAAGTTTATTGTTAACACTAAGGTACGTAACATGATAGGTACTTATAATCAATGTTTGAATGAAATAAACCATAAACGATAAACAAATATCAATATAATTGTTTCTCAATATTTGTTATGATTATAGGAGAAACAAAAAACAGTTTTCCTTTATTTCTATTTGTGTAATAAGTATACATAGATACATATACATATTTATATTTCATAATAATTTTGCACAGAGAAGATGATAGGAAATAGGTAGGTACTTTTCAACACAAAACGATATGTTACATAAGTGGATGAATAATATACAACAAAACTATTTTTGTCAATAATGTAACTATTGGGACTCTTTTAACAAATTGCCATTCTTTTGGCTTAGCAATTTTTTAAAGAGTTAATTTGAACACCTTGGCCATTGACTTCTATCAGTCCATTGACGTTGTAATATTAATATTAATATTAATATTATGAGTGATTATATCACCAAGGAGAGACCAGAGACGGAGATTTTGGATTTTTTGTTGACGCAAAAAATTGTAGATTTTGAGCAAAGAAAAGAATCTATAATTTTTACAATAATGTGTGCATTTTTAAAATATTGTTTAATATTTTCATGAACCTACTACTACCCCCTTATGGAAGATAATATTAAGTGTAGGTATGCCCTTCTTACCGAACTCTAAAAAAATTGCCTTAGATACATGACATCTTCACTGAATGTTTATATAAGCAATTTCTATGCACCGATTTTCGAAATATTGAGACCCTTTTTGAGCTGTTTATATATAAACATAATAAAATTTCAAGTTTTCTTTAATTTTTTTAAAATTGTTGCCGATAAAATAAAATATTTTATGCTAGATCAAAAACTTGAAAATGTAACAACGTTCCACATAAGTCGTTCTTAGTGGAAATTAAAAAAAAAGTTGAGTGTAAAACCACAATAATTTTTTTAACGTTGACAAAATTCATTAAAATCACAAAAATTGGAAAATTATTTCTAGCTAGAAATTCATAAGAACTTTTCTATTTAATCAAAGCTTTGTAAATGTAATGTAAGATTCTCCTTAAGTTTTCCTACATTTAGCATAAAAAAATATAGGAAACTTAAATTAAATTTTTACGAGCGTTTGAAGTTACATACATACATTGGGGATATTCGCAAGTAAATTAACAAACTCTATTATAACGATATTTTATTTTGTTGTTATTCAAAAAATAATAACCTTAAATTATTGAAATTTACACCAAGTGTTTAATTTTTATGTTATCGTTTAATATGTACTTTTAACTCAGTTTTAGCTGTTTACGGACATTTTAAATTTCAAAATATTTTTTTTGTTTTTTATTCTATAAATGTCAACACAATTATTAAGAAGCTTCAAAATTTAATATGAGGCCCCTAATATATTGTTACAACTTACAACAGCAGTTCAAAAATACATAGCCAAGACATTTTAAGCATTTAAATTAAAATATTAACAAAATTTTTCAAATTTCAAATTTACAAACACTTTAGTAATTTAAAATGTATAAAATTTTAACTTTTATAGCTGAAGATTAAAAATTTAAAAGTTTCCATGTAAGGTTGCACGTAAGAAGTTAATTTTGTAACCAAATAATCTAAAGAATATACAAACACAGTTTTTTTTTTATAGTTGTTTTAAGTTCAAATTTTGACGAAATTACTTATTAATAACCAAGAATAACGTTGTAATTTAAAGATAATATTAAATACTTAAAATACTTAAAATATTTCAAGTATATTATTGTATACAAA